ATAACTACTCCTCTAAAAACCGAATATTATTGAGGCCATTTTCTTCTTCATTATTAAGTTGGAAATTATTTAAATTATTATTTTTAGGTCTATTTATGAATGGCCCCTAACAGCCCTGGGCCCCAGTGCTTTGCACTACCCGTAGCTACACCACTGATCTGTATCATTACCATCACATAATGGCTTCTAAGGGTATTATTTTTCAATTCTGAGTTAAGGAGTACCGTATCTTTACTCACAATGTCCTCTGTTGTATCTGTGTAATGTATATAACAGTAATTTTCCACAGTTTCATTTTTAAAAATTCCATCACTATCAATGATTTCTTCCAAATAAGCCTTTCGATCCTGCATAAAAATCAGCAAAATATAAATTATAAGTTGTTTATGGCTACTATCCACTTTAGTGCATGTTAGCAGTACTATCACAAGGCCGTAACAAGGATTATTAAAGGGGGAAATATATGAGAACGGGGTTTCTAGGGAGTGTATAGGCTCTCAGCTTAGACCCCTGGTGGGGATCATCATTTTTTTAAATTATATATTTAATTCATTTCAGTATATGTGGCAAAGACAAGCCAAACCAGTCACTCGTCGCAAAAATTAATTTTTAGTTATTAATACAGGGTTAAACAGTATAATAAAATGGTAAAAAATCACTTAAATCCGACAGTTTGTTATGAAGTTACAAGAGTTTACATACAGTTGTTTATAGAACAATATTTGAGAAATAAGCCTTTGAAGTTTATGATTTTGGGCATTTCTCAGGCAGAAGTCATTACCAAATTGTAAAAAAATGTTGTTTTAACATTGAAAACAAGGAAAATAAATGCATAGCATAATATATAGAGATTAGTGCAATAAAATAAATTTTAAAATGTTGACATTCCAGCATGTTTTGGCCATTATCTCTGAAACAGGACTTGCGACAAGTGACTGGTTTGGCTTGTCTTTGCCACATATACTCTCAAACTATCATCATAAATGTTGTTACAATGCAAGGTTTACAGTTGATAAGCCTAACTAAATTTAGTGAGGTTTGAATAAGTAGTAATTTCTAATGGTAAAGGTAAAATCAGCTTAAAAGTTTACTACAATTGAACAAGCAGTTCTGCTTGCCTGTTCAATTAAGCGAAATGATTACAATAAAAAGATTTTTTTTATACCTTATTTAGCGCCCGCCAATAAAGACGATTACGAATAAAAATACAATTTAATTTTTGGTGCACTCTCTGCCATGAAAAAATTGAAATTTTTATTATGTTATCTCCAAAAATATATCTTCCTAATTGTATAAATTTAAAGCATTTAACCATCCCATTACTACACTGTTTAAATTCACCAAAAAAATTAAATTTTTAATTTCTCCTCTGTCTGGATGTTCTTGGCAAAACTATTTGCTAAATAAGAAAACAAAATTACATTTTTATTTCTTTCTGCCCTCCTCTGACGATCTTTAAAAAAAGTGTGTGAAACATGGTACAAAAAAAGAACTCTCCTAATTTACCTTTTCTGGCCTCAGATAAAACCCAGTGCTCAAAAATACCAAGTAGCAGATGTACACAATCAGTCTCAAGATGAAGTGGAACTTGGCAAAGGTCTTCCATTTCTGTTCAATGATGTGAAGAATGAGGCCTTTTAACATTGGCAGCCTGTCCATACCGCTCTGTTAGTGATCAAATGATATCAATACTTTACAAATATTCATAATTATAATAATAATTATACTAATAATAAATAATCATTATATTATTAATAAATGATTCTATTAATAATAAATAATAATAATAATTATATTAATAATAACTAATAATTATATCAACAATAAATAATAATTATCCTAATAATAAATATAATGATGCCAGTCGTACATAGCGCATCATGGAAAGGTCTGTAAGCAATTCACATTAGTACCGTCAGTCATTGGGTCCCACACCTTAGAACACAAAATGATAAAATTATGTGATTTATAACTAAAAAAAGTAACGAACTAACTACCTTGTATGCAATTGTATAAAGTGCTGAATGAGAGTTAATCGTTCCGTCGGGATTAATACTATCAACGTTGTTTAAATTATATGATGCGCAAGTAACCTTTCCGTAACGCCATTCCACTTCTCTTTCCAGGTGTAAGATATGCTCGAATAGTTCACGTCTGACGAGATAGGCGGCCAGTGACAAACAACTGAAGCCACGCTTATTTTGAATCACTAAATCTCCTCCAAGTTCATACGCTGTTGTCAAAATCTCCTGCAAAGCAATTACGAATTGGTTACTATTCAATTAAATGAATGCTAAAGAAAATAAATTTTACAGAACTTTTTAAAAACTTCCATGCATCATCATCATTATTACCACCATCATTTTCATCATCACCATCATTAAAAAAATATTATTTTTATAGAAATATCTGTATTAAAAAGCATAATTTATATAAATAATATAAGATATTATTTTAGTAAATATAATCATTAACTAATTATAAATTATATTCATTACAATTTAAATTAATAATTTCTTAAATTACAGGGGCAGATCTACGATTTTTTTTAAATATTTCAGATTGTTTGAATCAATGCCTACCTCAACCCCACTAGGAGAGTATGGTCCCTTCATGGCACACTTGTGTGGTATAGATAAATTAATACTTCAGAAATCTCAGGGGTGGATCCAGAGATGTCCAAAAAGGGGGGCCCCCAAAATTGGGCCGATCGACACAACAATGTCCTAAGGGGTCCAGGGCATGCCCCCGCAAAATTTTTGTGTTCTAGACACCCGAAAATAACATTTGAGGCATTGTGGGCTATCATTTTTTTCTTTTTCTTTCTTTATTTCTTTTTTCCCCCCTTTTTTTTTCCTCCCAAAAGCGGGGCCGGGTCGGCACCCTGCCAAAATCCGCCCCTGGATCTTAAAGTTTAGTTTAAGCAACTTACATGGCTATTATTTCACAGTAATTAAAAAATATGCACCTGTTGAAACACTTCAAGGCCCCCCTAAATCAGCCCCGGAAATATATCAACCTCACCATTTGGTTGTGAATTACTGCCATATGCATTGCAGTGTTTCCATTTGAGTCCTGAGCGTTGATGTGTCCACCCTTGGCATGCAGGTAGCGAAAGATGTGAATTAGACCTAAAGATGCTGCAAATGACAAGGGATACTCTCCCCAGTACTTCGCCCTGAAACAAAAAATACAAAATGCATCACTATTCTAATGTTTAATATTATGGCAATAATAATACTGATAATAATAATAATATGATATAATGCCCTGAAACAAACAAAAAATGCATCACCATTCTAATGTTTAATATTATGGTAATAATACTGATAATAATAATAATAATAATAATAATATGATATAATACATGAAAAATTGAACTCCACATCAGTGAGACTTGGACCAGGGCTGTAATAGTGAGAGTGATTTAGCGAGTTCTAACCACTGCACCATACAACCCAACCCTGCGGAGGTCAGTGCATTTTTACTTCATCTACTTTGCATAATGTCATAGGTTAAGGGGCCAAAATCTTGTAACTGTATATTGTTTTATATAAATAATAATTTGAATAAAAATAACATACTGTAAATGCTTGAATAAACGCTGCTTATAAAATTTCTGGAAGCTTCAGTGCAGCGCTTATTCGAGAGCGGCGCTTGTTTGAATGTGGTGCTTATTTGAAAGCAGCGCTTATAAAAAAGTATTGGCATGCCGCTTTCCATGCCCTTTCCCACGTTGGCTATCTTACGTATGCTTCCCGTATCGGTAGACATTTCATAGGTCCTAGTCATTGTAAACAAACGTTTATAAAGAAATGTGTCTTCATTGTATTATTTATTCATTTAAAACACTGTTTCTCAGTATTTTTCATTACACACAGCGTAATATATACCCTCGATTAAGTGCCGCGGCACTAATTTGAGAGCGGCGCTTGGCAAAAAATAATCCGGTTTGGTGCGGCACTTATTCGAGCGGCTCTCGAACTCAACCTTGTCTATGTAGGAACCTACTTGAAACTATTATCAGTAGGACACATGTCTAGACACAGAGGCTGTCACTATTAACAATATGAGTAATGCAATGTCATTGCAAGTACAACATTTCTTACCCCTCATAGTTTGTCTTCTTTGAGATTTGAACGTACTCGTCATCATAAGTATCAAATCGTTTCTTAATCTGATCATCTGTGCTGAAAAAATGGCCGCAACATCTTGCATTGATTTCTACATTATGATTGACAAGGTATTGAACCATTTCAAAATTATCATTTGCAATCGCCATATGAAGACAGTTTTCACCTAAATTGTTTTGAAAATAAACAAAGTAAAAAGCCATCATTACTGTTTCAGCATTGATAGAATCTTGTTTTTTTTTTATATTTTTTATTAGGCTTGTTCAAGGAGGGGTAACAAGATCAGTGATAGCCCTGCTTTCCACTGGGCCTTCCAATCATCAAATCTGAAGCAGATGATGGCCAAACAGGTAAATTGAGAGAAAAATCCAGAAAAGGGCTTATAATGGAAACACTGAAAATACCAAAGTGAGAATAATTTAAATTAAGAGCCTCAGGATTGAGGAACGTGCTGTTTTGGGCATGAGGCTCCAACATTGACGGGTCATTGCAAAAAAATCGAC